CTGCGAGTCCATGGTGCTGGCCAGGCCCTCCCCTCCGCCCCGCCAGTGGCCCGCGGCGGCCGCCTCAAAACAAACGCACATGGCCCTTCCCCCCTCCTTTCTCCAAAGGGGCGTGGCCAGAGGGCCGTTGAGCGCCAGGCAGGCTCCGCCCCCTCAACCGACCTTGAGGGCGGCGGCGGCGGGGTTCCCCCCTCCCCCCCTCCCTGAGGCGTTTAACGGTCCGTATAAGAGACCACCTCCCCCCTCTGAGAATTGGGGGGGGGGCTTTCCTCGAGCGCGTGCGCGCGCTTGAACGGGCGGGGGGGGGGAAGAGTCAGGCAAGCGAAGGCGTGGCCGCCCGTGAGGCGACTGTCGCGCCGACGGGAAGGGGATGGGGGAGCCGGCGTCACCTCAGGCCTCCCGTCAGGGGTAAAAGACCCCCTCAGAGCGCGCCCGGGGGGGTGGGGCAGCCGAAGTTGCCCCCCGCCATTTCCCCCGCTCTTTCCGCCCCCACCAACCGGCATCTCGGCCCCGCGCGCGACTTCTGGGGGGGGGGAGAAGCGCCTCGCACGCGAGCGAAGCCCCGCGCGCCGGGTCCGCGTTTAAGGTGGAGCGCGGAGGGATCCCGCCTCCCCAGCGCGCGCGACTGACGCGCCGGCCTCGGGCGCTTGTCAATCAAGTGCTCCCTCCCTCCCTCCTCGCGGCGGCTCCTCCTCAGGGAGGGAAGCCTGCGCCCTGCGCGCGCACGCTCGCGGTAGGAGATTGGGGGGGGGGAGGGCCGCCCGGAATTCGGTGGCTGGCACGAAGTTGTCGGACCCCCTTAAGAGAGCCTGGTTTTTTTTATTACGGTGGCGCTAGAGGGTCAAAAAAAGACAGTGCCGTGGGGCGAGTGCGGCATTTCGCGATGGTGATGATGATTCACGCTGTCCAAAGTTGTTATGTGCGTGTTGAATTGTGATGAACGCCACCTAAAGTTAGGGTGTGGATTCTTTTTTTTTCTTTTTTTCCCTTTTAAATTCTGATTGACGTTATCGAAAGTTAGGCTGTCCTTGTTGTTTTTAAAATTATGCTTAAAGCTCCCCAATATGCTTGCAAACCCAAAGAGGCACAAGTTTCACTACGGGAGGAGCGAGTTACTTCGTCCCCTTTTTTGCCAAACTTAGGGCGGCAGGAGTGGGGGGGGGCGAGAGGCTGGCTTGGTTCTATTGAGCGCGGGCAGTGGAGGAAAGTGATCCATCAGATCTAGCATCAGGACAAAGTCGGAGTCCAGCGGCACCTTTAAAATCCACAAAAGTTTCATTCTGGGTATCAGCTTTCCTGGGCATGCACACTTCATGCGTATCCGAGGAAGTGTGCATGCACGGGAAAGCTTCTATCGAGGAAGAAACGTCGTTGGTCTTAAAGGTGCCGCTGGACTCCCGGCTTCGTTCTGTGGTTGCAGGCCAAAACGGCTGCCCGCCTGAATCAGATCTGTCGTTATTTAGGGAAGGGCAGCACATTCCCTAAACGGTGTCTGTCGTAATACAAACTGTAGGAATGGCTTGGAAAGCGGGTGCAGAAAAGGCGAGTTGGGGAGCAGAGAAACAAGACGGCCCGATTCCTGCAGCCAGGACCTGCTCGGCTTGCGTTCCTGGGCACGACGAGGCCTACTTGCGCAAAGCCAGCGCCTCCCTGCCTGCAGAAGCGCGATCCCGTGCCTGGAAATCAGACCCGTTGCACTCGATCCTGCCGCCTCACTAGCGCGCAGGGTTAGGGTGACGGCGTTGCTCTCTCCCGGGAGGGTGCGCGGCCTCCCAACCGCGCCGCCCGATCCTCAGCGACTGGCCGCGCCGAACCCCCGACGAAAGCGTCGGCCTTTACCGTCGCCTCCCTGGCCTCTCGACAAACTCTTCTTTCCTCCCCGGAGTTTCCAGCGCCTCTTTCCTCTCCTCCGAGGAGACGCGTTAAGGCCCCCCCTCTCTGCCTTGGCGCCCAACTCGCTGGAGCGCAAATGGCACACGGGGGAGGGGAGACCCCTCCCCCAAAAAAACACCCAAAAAGGCTGGGGGGGGAGCAGAAGCCAAGAAGAGCCCCAAGATCGCGGGGGGGGGGGGCGGGCATCGGTCAAATCTTTTTCCCGAGGCTTTCGTTCCCTTGGAAGCGAAGCAAGGACTCGGCTGACCGCTGCGTCGCGGGGTCTGGGCGCAATCTCAATCTCCGTCTCCCAAGGACGGGGCTGGAGATCCTCGGGGCCGGCAGCAGGCGGCCTAGAAAGTGCGGAGGAGCTCCGCGCAGAGGGGGGGGGGGGAAG